AGCAGATAGTCAGCAGTGCCTGAAGTTGGAACAGCATGAGCTGATCATTTATACAGGTGCTCATAAAGGGTGTTGTCCTGCAACCTTGTTAAAAAGCAGTGCAGCGTTTGATAAATATTGAAGCATGTCAGTAGTAGCACCATTGCAACCTGGGAAAGAGATGAATTTCCTTTGCAGTTATTTGCACAGGTGTGAACACTCTTTGGAGCATTTCATTTCACAAGGGAGTTGGAAGCCACTATATAGTTGTGTCTGTTCAGAAGTTAGTTGGGGAACAGGCTGAGACCTCCACATCAACTACCTGGTGAATTAGGAAACCAACCTCAGATACTCTAGGTGGAGTGTGCGGGCAGCAAGCGAAGGCCCATCACTTGCTCTCTTTCTCTTTGGTTTTCCAGTGACCTAGTTTTCATGGCTGTGCTTTCACTTGTTAACCCATCCCTTCTTTGGATCCTGCTTCTATGTCCACCAGCTCCCTGAGTGAGGACAGAAGGCCAAGGCAGGGTCTGAGGCCCGCAGGGCTCTATGGTGGTCACTGCTGCAGGGCACTTGGCCAGCTCTCCTTGTCTTCGACTGTCTCCTGGGCTCTTTGTCTTGGCACCTTCTTTCCCATGGGTCTGTTCCTGTTTGGGTGGTCCTGACTTTGTCTCCAGCTGTCTGTGTTCAGTCTCTCCTTTGCCCTCCATCAGTGCCCCTTCCCCCTCCTTTTCCTTTCTTTGCAGGTTCTCTTCTCCCCTCCCCTCCATTCCCCTCTGCTGCCACTTTTCTTTGTACTTCTCTCTCCTGTCTCTTTTTTGCTTCTCTCCCCTCCTTTGTATCACACGTTTCATGTGGTCACAGTGTGTTACTTCTCTTCACAGCCCTATGACTGAGTCTTATGTTTGAATGGAGAATCCCTTCGTAACTGGCTTGGTTTTGAGGGTGCCAGTTGTATGTTCAATAGTTAAGACTAATTAAAGTGGGACAGCAAGTTCAATCAAAATTCACTTTAGTGGATCCTCGAGTTAGGGAGCAGTTAGGAGTTTGACACAGTGCTAAGATTAGCTGGGAAGAGAGAAGGGGCTTGGCTTTTCTGGAGCCACTCCCCTTCTTTTTTTTTCCCAGCCCCTCTCACTGGTACAACTTTGTTACAAAGCCTCACCCACTGGCCTGGGCCACATAGGGCTGTAGGGCCAAGAACAGTAGCAACAGTTTGATATTCTGCCTCAATAACAGATGGTAGCAAGAAAGACAACCTCCCTCAAACCTGCCCACCAGAGTGTGATTTAAACAGATGCTGACAGGTGTATGGTGTCAGGACATCAGAACCTTGGGTGACACCAAAACAGAGCCAAGGGCTCTCATCAAATCTTTGTTTTCTCCTTGGAAATACTGGTACCAGTGTGCACGCTATGAACTGAATTACATAGATTACTTTGTTGCAAGAAGAACCACCCATCTAATTTATCTCTCAGCTGTTCTCTCCATACCTTTGGGGACCAGAGTGATGTCAAAATAGAGGACACTGTGATAAAAACAAAAAGCTCCAGAAGAGAAGGACCAAGATGGGCAAGGCCGTGGAGGACCACGCAGTCCCTGTTGAAGGTCCTGGGAGTTGAGTGTTGAGATTGGGAAGGTATTACAAAGAGTAGTGAAAGGAGTTCTAACTTCACTCAGCTGTCTCCCCTAGCAGATGGGTGGATAGCAGGGGAGAGAATCCCAGCCTGTGGCTCTCTGTTAGGGGAGAAGACATTTATGCACTTAACTCACATCCACCCCCTGCTCTGAAGTCCACTTCACTGCTGTAACAGGGCTTTTGTTTCACACTTTGTCATTATTCCACGAGTGCTCTGCGTGCAGATTCATGTCTCAATTCCTCAGCCCAGGATCTAACACCTGCCACTGTTCCATCCCCTGTCCTACTTTTCAACCTCTGGGATCTTACCTGAAACCTTACAACATGAATCAGAAAGCATACTGAGGTTGTTACAGATGAAATAATAAACCTTTAGGTCTGTGTTTATTGTCTACCAGTGTGTAACAGGGACAAACCAAGCACTGAGTAGCAAAACAAAGGAGATATTTGTTGTCACAAAGTTTCCATTGTCAGGAATCTAATAGGCTTGCCCATGTCCCCAAACTCAGGGTCACTCACAAGGGTGTAGTCAGGTGTCCATTGGGGCTGGGAGCTTCTTAGTATTGGGGGAAGAATTCACTTCCAAGCTTGTTCCTATGATTCTTTAAGATAGGATAGACTGGAGGCCTCAACTGCTTACAGAGCAGCTTCTTTACCAAGGGCTGCTCACAGCATGCCACAGTTGGCTTCAACGAGTGAGCCCATACACAGGCACTGGGAGCAGAACCAGATCTACAGGCTTTTGCAGCCAGGTCTCGGAAGCGATATAGTCTATGGCTCGTGTGCCATTCTAGCTCATTCTAAGCCAACACTGAATCCGGCCAACGCTCAAGGACATGATTATACACAAGTGTGAATATCAGAGGACACCATAGTTAAGTGGGTCATTTGAGAGTTATTTTAGAAGCTACCTACTGCAACATCTACTTACAAAGTGATGTGTTAGCTCCAGTGGGACCAGAGGGATGCTGGACTCTGAGCAGCTTCACGTGACAGAGGGTCCTTGCTCATTCACATTATCCTGACAGCATGAGACAGGACTCTGCTCTGCACATTGGTTCCAGTGTCTAGGCTGCAGGAGTTAAGTGTCATCTTTTTCCACGATCACCATGGACAGCAACATTCCAGGAGGCAGGTGGTGAAAACAGGTTAGGGCAAAGTGTATGGGTATGTTTCCCAACCACTTGGATTCAGCCCTTTCTACACACAACAGCCCTGGGAAATGGTTTCTGGCTAGGCAGGTGCTCCTAGCAACAGCATTTCACTGTCAAAGTGAGGTGGGAATTCTTGCCGGACTGGAAGCCAGACCTGCCTCGGACTCTGTACCACTGGCAGAATGCTTCCACAGTTCTTACTCCATTTGCTGCTCATCATAGCCTAAGTTATCAGCGATATCTACACCCCATCTCTAGGACATCCAAAGTTGCATAATTACATGTGTTGACCAAGTCCCACCTCTAATGCTTGCAAGTACTTTGGTGAGTAAAACATTTGAAATTTATGTACAGTTTTTTTCCATAATATACTTTTTCTGTTAACTTTTTGGAGACCTGTCATATCATTTCTTTGACCGTGGAGGTATATGTGTGTCTCTCCCTCAGCCTCTCTTGCCTCATCAGGAACCCTGGATCTCTGTGCTATTCAGACTTGCGGAAAAGTTTCAGACACTGCGAGTAATTCATTTACTTTCTTACCTGGCATCTAGAAGCACTTAATGAGTATTCATTCTAAGGAAGACAGGAAGCATAAATGTAAACAAAAACATTATGGCACAGAGGTGTTAAGGAACTTGAAACTACAGACGGAGTTTAGGGCTGGCTTGCAGGCTGTTGCTCTCTGTCAGCTGTGAGGAATCTTTGAGCTCTCACATTGCCAGGTGTCCCCTCAGGCAGTGCTCAGAGAGACATGGAGCCCCTGAAGGATCAATGCCACATCACCTTTTCAGGGCACCTCTTCCGTGTAACCACAGCCTTTGCCTTCCTGTATGAAGCCTACTGTCCGAGCGCCTCTCTTCATGTGTGCTCTGTGTAGTGACACTGGTTCTCCCAGGCCTGAATTTCAAAGGCTTTGTACATAATAGGCTCCGTCTTGTCCACCAGGTGAAGGCACAAGAAGTGATGCAAGAGATTTTGATAGACACCCTGGGTAGTTCACTGAGAAAGGAGAGAGCGTAGGTGTTAGGAAGTTCCTGAAACACAGCTTGAGGTGTGCTGGGAAGGCCACGAGCTGTCGTCAGAAGCTGTGTCTCTCATGCTTTTCCTTCTGTTGAATGAGGATCAAGCAGAAGTGGACACCGTGAGTACTGCCCAGGCCTGCAGGGCGTGTTCAAGCAGAGATCAGAGCTTCAGGTTGCACATGGACTTACGACTCGAGCCTCTTCCCCACTTCAGGCGTGACAGCTCCACTGGACGGGGGCTCAGCAGCAGCCATCCCAGCTTCTATCCGTGAAAGTACTCATCTCCAAACTCTAGCCAAGTCCTTGCTTTCATCTTCTTCTCTAATTGGACCACAGCTTGAGATCGATGTTGTCACATAATCTTTCCTGCCAGTGACATTGATTCAAATCTGTATTTGATTCGTTTTCTGTTGGTGAAAAGCTACAGCAAGATTAGTCCCCTATGTCTGCATGTGTCACTCCAGTACTTTATACGAATTTTAGTACCCTGGTTTGGCATTCTCCTGCCTATTCTTTCCATAGAACTTTCCTTTGAATTCCATCCTCAAACCATTCATTCAAGGAACAAATCCAAGGCATAAGACTCGCCTCGTGCAGACTTACTAGTCTGGGCTGGACACTGGCATAGTGGTTAGGGTGCCAGTTGGGATGCCCACCCATGTTCCTTCTTGGAGTACCTGGCTTCATGTCCCAGCTCCAACTCTGATTCAAACTTCCAGCTAATAAAGACACTGGAAAGCAAGAGTGAAGATTCAAGTGACTTAATTCCTATCACTCACATGAGGGACCTGGAATGACTTTCCAGTTCCCAGCTTAAGCCACAGCACATATTTGAAGATTGTACCCAGTGAAAGATCTCTTCCTGTCTTTGTCCATCTGCCTCTGAAATAAATAACACCTAAGAAACTGGTTGATCAAGTGATTGTTGCCATCTTTGGGCAGAATCTTGTACATACATATTTGGGAAGGTAGCAAGTAATGTCTTTATAATGCCAGGTAATTGAAGCAAAGAAAAGGAGGAAAAATACATTCGTTATCCAGCTATATCTCAGTAGGCCAGGGTGGGTCATAAAAAGCCACAGCTATGTTGCCACTAAGTTGTGTTGAGATCAGGTAAGTCCTGGCGCCCTGTGACTTCATGCTGTACAGAACTTGGCAGCACAGCACCTCGAGTTTCCTTCAGTGATTGTCCATCGTTGCTCTTTCTAGGAACCAATGTGCAAGAGGCTCAGAAGATCCTCAGCAACAGTGGGCTGCCCATCACTTCAGCTGTCGACCTGGAAGATGCGGCCAAGAAGGCCGTGGCCAGCGTGGCCAAGAAGTGATGCCTTCATTGTCCTGGCCCCCAGAGAAGAAGGCTGTCTCATCACTGTGAATGAAATGCTTATCTCACATGGAGAAAACCAGGGGGCAGAGGAAATGAACACTCATCACTGAATAAATCTGTGTTTTCTTCAGTTAAGATACGTAGATGGCCTGAATCTGATTGTAGTTACATTGTCGATAAGAATCCTGTCCTGCGTGCTCATACTGTTTTTTTTTCTTGCTTTTTCACAGTAAGTCTGCTCAGTAGGCAGTGTTTTTGCCAACTTTGGGGTTAGGCTGTGTGGCCAAATACCATGTACCAAATACAGAATGTGAAAGTCAAGTAATGCGCATATACACAGAATGTGAGAATCAGGCCATGGATATGGAGAAGAATTTTGGTAGAAATTTAATCCTATGTGCTAATTCAAAAAATCAAAACACAATCCCTAAAAAAAAAAAGTCAAGACAAGATTACTTCTAACATAATCACTCCTGAAAGCGGGCTGCCGAGACACAAATCCCTTTCCACTTGGCAGCAGTTCTTACAAGTTTCTCACACATGTCTGGGATATCGAAAATTTTCCAAAATGCATTTTTACGATCAAAGATCTGCTTTGGTGCACTGCACATGCGTTCTACCACTTGCCTTAACACTGAATATACTGTTTACTTCAGACTAACAGAAAAGCCAGAAGCCTTATTTGTGATTTTGGAGTAATTTTCAAAGCATACAGTTGAAAGATGCTGCTTCTGCTGGAAATTTCTATGATGATAATTCTGAGATAACACCCAAGACAGTGGTGTTGAATGTGGGGTCTCCTTGTCTGTGCACCAAGCCCACCCTGCCCGTCTCCCAGGGTAGACCAGCTGTGGTAAAACGACGGGAACATAATGAAGATGAGTATGTCTGGATACCATGATGCCCATTTTCACAGTGGGAAGAATTTGAGATACAGGTTTGTCTAAGTTTTGGCTAATTTTTATCTGCATACAAGGTTAAATAAAAATCCTGTGTTTTGTAAGGTGTTAAGATCTTTGTGTGTTTCTCGTTTTTATGCCTTGTACAGTTTGTTCTTTTACATGGATCCTACCCTTACCGTCTTAAGCATATCTAAAACAAGAGGATGTGTGTTGTCCCCAAATGAGTCTAGTTCCACTCTTCTCATCAGGTCACTCTTTCTGAGGCAGGAGGTTGTCAGTAGAAGAATTAAAAAAAAAAAAAAATCGGAGGCCATCTTTGCAGGGTAGCGGGTTAAGCCACAGCGTGCAATGCCAGTGTCTCATTTGGGCATGAGGTTCATGTCCTGGCTGGTTCAATTTTGCTACTTCTGACCCAGCTCCCTGCTAATACCCTGGGAAAAGCCGCAGAGAAGGGCTCCTTGGACCCTTACTCAGATGAAGCTCCTGCCTCTTGGGCTCTAGCCTGTCCCATTCCCACCCACTGTGACCAACTGGAGACTGAACCAGCGGAAGGGAGATCACTCTATCTCTCTTTATTTTTGTTGTTGTTGTTTATTTCTTTCACATAAACCTTTTGAAAAAATAAGAAAAGGCAATGCAAACCAGAAGCCGAGGAAAGTGTTTCATCCAACATGCTAGAAGAAACAACGTGCAGACCCCTTCTTTGTAACAAGCCTCGGGTTCCAGTTGTCCTTCTAGTGTGGTAGTTTACTTATTGTTTTAACCGGCTTCCCTTATTGTCATCAATTTCACATGTGAGCAAAGGAAAATAATTCATTTTGTAAATGTATATTTTCTATAATTAGCCATTAAAGGTCATACCTTTTTAATGACTGTGCAATAAATGACAGATATTAGCAATGTCTTTCTTGATCTGTTTTGTTTTGGGTAGTTCAGTATCTGCTTAGTACAGTAGAAGATAAGACCTGAGTGATTTTGGTCTTTCTGTTTTTAACCCGCAAGAGGCAGCTTTAGGCGTTACAGTGAAAAAAAGAGGAATAAATATGATCTTTGATCTTTCCATTTTGAAACGTGGGAGCACTTGGAAGTCTACTAAAAGGCCACTTGCTAATGAAACCCCATCCAGTTATGCTAATTTATGTCTTTTCATCAGCACAAGAACTATCCTGCAGATAGCTTGTTGGCTTTTGAACATAGGCCATTAACTATCTGCAGGTTTTTTTGAATAATATCAGGTCCTGACTATGAATACTAAACTCCCAAAGGGCTGTATCTATCAAGTCATCCATCCTCAAAGGGATCCTGGCAAGTGACTGTGTGGATTCTGTGTGTTGCGGGATCTTGAGGTCCAGGTTACATGATCAAAAAGCAACCAGAAAAACTGACTCAGTGCCTTGATTCCCTATCATGTTACTGCCAAAGCTGCATTCCACTTGATTGGTGAGGACGTTAGAGTATAATGGGGTAAAGTTGTTTCTTTGACGTTTCATAGTTAATAGCAAAAATGTAGGCTTCTGTACCTCTGATTCTTAGGTAATTTTGCCGCTTCTCAAATCCAATGCAAGAGTCTGTGAGGATGGCCAGTGGTCAGTGTCGGTACTTCCGATGTTCTCATTGGCCATGTGACTGTTGAGAACTTAGGAGCTTAAATTTTTCCCATTTATCTATTTGAGAGAGAGAGAGAGAGAGAGACTGTACCAGATGCCTCACCAAATACCTGCAATGGCTATACTAGACTCATTCCAGGAGCTGAAATTCCAAGGATGAAAGGAACCCAACATCTTCAGCCATTCACCGCTGCCTCCCAGTACACACGTTAGCATGCGTTTGGAATCAGTAGTGAAGCCAGCTTTGGGAACCAGACAATCCCAGCACCACATTGCCGGCAAATAATCACTTTGAGAGACACATGTAATTTAAGGAAAAACTTTAATTAGTAAAACATCATCATGATATAGAACTTAAGAATGATATTAATTAATTAAAACATGGTTAAAAATAGAAGGGAGTGGAAGAAAATCAACATTCATGAATTAACCAATAAATCTGAAAGAGCAATGAATCCTAAGTACAGTTCAATACAAAAGAGATCCTCCTCAGCAAGGCAGGGATTTCCATGCCCAAAATGTCAGCGAGACTGAGAGATCCTGATTTATCACAGAATGATTCAGGGATACTTCCTACAGTGAAGATGCCACAAGGAAAAAAAAAAAAAACTGACATAAAGATGCGTGGTTCACAATGAATGCAGAGCTGGAAGTGAAGAAAACAAAAGAAACATAAAGTAGCATGTAGGACAGGGATGGTCCAACATAAGAATAATCAGTGTCCTTAAACTAGATAAGACAACATTTGAAATCAGAAGTTACTTTACAGATCAAGAGTGAAGATTATGATGCGGTAAGTCACCACCACTAGGGGGAGCCCTCGTTCCATGTTGTAGGGCCTGGTTTAGATCCCACTCTGTTTCTAAACTTGCTTCCTGCTAGTGTGCACCCTGGGAAACAGCAAGTGATGCTCACAGCCCTGCCACCCACGTGACCCATATGGAGATCCTGGCTCCATATAGAAGTTCTCAAAAGAAGCCTACAGAGTGCAGATGACAAGACAAGCAGGAAGCAAGTACCGGGGACTTCATTTCTCTGCACAAGAAAATGCATAAATTACATTCTGTGAAAGCAGAATATTATATTACCATTAAAAATAATGGTGAATTGGCATACATCTGTGTGAAAAGGTGTTAACATGCTGCTAGTGAATGTGTAGATTTTTAATAGCCTAAAAATGTCTTCAAAAAGTTTATGGAAAATACATATTAAGTATTTTAAATTATTTTTCCTATAAATTGCTTGAAGCCTCCTTGCACATGATCATATTTCTATTTTTAAATCTTAATTTTGATTGATTTTTAACGTTCAGTTTGATTTGTGATCAAAATCCTATGAAAACAATATTTTCTGCCTCCCTCCCTGGTACCTCCTTGCCTCACCCTTTTTCTTCTACCCTCCTTGCTTCAGCATTGCTTTCTTCTAGATTTTAAGATAACTTTTAAAATTTGTATCCCCATAAAGGCTAACTACCTCTCCCAAATAAGACATTTAACAAGCCAATAACAAAAGGACCCTCGTTTTGTGGTAATACAGACAACATATATAAGAAAAATAATTGAATGGGAAAATGACCCTTTCAAAGTAATCACAAATCATTAAAACTATTTTAATATTTTCAGTATTAAAACTATATAGTATTAACTATTTGGTAAAGTTTTAAAATTTTACAGAAAAACATTTGCAATGATACTGGTAAACACAGACATTTTTTTTCTTTTGTTTTGAAAAGTTTATCTCCTTATGTAAGGAACGGTATACAGCATATGTCCTTCTGGATCTGGCTTGTTTCACTTAACATGAGCATTTGGCTGTGAATGGTAGAGTCCATTGTGAAATGTACTGGACAATATTCTGTGCATATGGACCACATTTTCTGAGTCCATTCATGTGATGATGGACATCTTGATTGGTCCCAGATTTTGCGTGTTGTGAATGGTGCTGCTATAAGCACAGTGGTGCACGTATCTTTTTGATGCATTGTCTTCAACCCAGTGAAGGGGTTGCTGAGTCATGGGGCAAGTGTGTTTTGAGTTTCCTAAGAAACCTGTGTACTATTTTCCACAGTGGCTGCACTAACTGAATTTCCACCAACAGTGTATAAGCCTTACCCTTTCTGCATATCCTTGCTGGCATTTGTTTCTGTTTGGGATTTTAACCGTTCTGACAGCTTGGTTAATGCATGGAGTATAAATCACTCTGTTTCTCATAGGAATGCAGAATAGAGTCTGGAAATTCAGAGACTGTGAATCATGAACACAAAATGTACAGATGTCCTACTTTGGGGCTAATGGGGAACGCAACAGCAGCCTGTCATGGAAAAGGGAATGACGGTACACACAGGAGGGTTTGTTTCCCAAGGCAGGATTTAGGAGACAGGTGAGGCAGATTGAAAATAGACCACTGTGGGGCCCTCGCACTTCTCCTACCACCCTCGTACCACCTACAAGGTCCACCATGATCTGGCCCCTGCAGTATCTGTTATGAGAATGATGACATCAAGGGCCCCATCTTCACTCTGCCCTGTCGTCCATCACTTTTCACATAGGAAGCTCAGTAACTTCTCGAAGGGAGTATGTTGACTGTGAGTTTGGCCAGCTTTGACCAGTAGCTGTTAGCAGTTGTGGATGTCTGTAACAGGATTGCATGATTTTGGTCTTTCCCTGGCTAGGCTGCTAAAAGAAGACATCCGTGGAACAGAGCCGGTTTTTCCAGGTGTCCCAGCCACAGCTAGGCAAGACCGCCCATTGGTTATGGGGATAACCTGAATACACAAGAATCACTTTCCAGGTGAACTCATTCTAAATCACAGATTCACGGACACATGAACAAAATAAATGCTTACCTGTTAGAAGGCACTGAGGTTTGAGCTGATTTATTTTACAGTGCTCCAGGACAATCTTATGCATTCCCTGATACTTTCCTTTTGTTCTCTCTGCTCTCTGGGCCGATGTTTTAAGAGAATCTGCCATTCTAAATCTCTGGGATTCCCTATGTGGTGTGTGCCCGTTGGATCATCTCCCTGTGAGTGTGGTCAGGGCTGAATGAGATGGAAGAGTCTTTGGTGGCTGGCCGCCATGATGCAACAAAGGTGAAGGAAAGTTGCAGATGTAATTCAGATCTCTAACGACTTGAGTTGAATCTAAAGGGAGGCTGTCCTGGTTGGATTTGATATTGCCCCTGGGCACCCATAGCCAGTCGGCATTTTGGAACTCAGCAACCACCTGAACACACTGTGGGAACTGAGGCACTGCAGCACCAAGAACTAGCAAGAGGCCTGGGATTTCATTTGCAGAGCTAGAAGGAGGTGAGCACTGCTGTTATCCAGAGAGGCTGGGAGTGGATTTTTCCCCCCTGGTTTAACTTTTAGTCAACGCGTGCACCCTTCAGCTGTCCCAGGACTGTACTATGAACCAATAGAAATGATGAGATCATGAATGGAGGTTTTTTACACCAGCTAAAATTGTGATATTTAGTTGTGTACAGAATATGCATATTTTTT